CATTGATATGCAGAGGACGGGTCGGTCGGCACAGCTGCAGGATCCCCGCTCCGAGGGGGAGGCCCAGGAAAAACCAACAAAAGATCCTCTCCCTCCATTCCCGGTGTTCAGAGACTTTAATTCCCTAAAATCCTGCAGCTCTCCTTCCTTAAACGTCTCCTTTCTCCTCTCACACACAGCCTGTCAGTGGCGTTTTATAATAGTGAATTAAAAATGAATGTTAATTATATATTAAAATATTTCTTTTTCATAAATATAATTTAAATATCATTTTTATGTTGATTTAAAATAATGCAGAATATTAAATATTTCGTCTTACTACTATATATATAATCATATTATAAAATCATCAATATTATGATTTTTTATATATATTGTTATGTTAATTATAATAGTGCAGAATATTAAATATTTATTCTTACTACTATATAGTCATATTATAATATCATTATTAATACTATATAATATACAGTGCTGCTTGAAAGTTTGTGAACCCTTTACAATTTTCTATATTTCTGCATAAATATGACCCAATTCAACATCAGATTTTTGCACAAGTCCTGAAAGTAGACAAAGAGAACCCAATCAAACAAATGAGACAAAAATATTTTCTTTGTCATTTATTTAAAACTAAAACTTAAATAATTAAATAATAACATCTACATATAAAGACACAGTTAAACCAAGAAAAGAAAAAAGAAAGGAAAATGAAACTAACTAGAAGTAAAAGTGAAAGTAAAGTAAAATAAAAGCGAAAAAAGAAATTATTCAAAATATTATATTCAAAATAATATACAGTGCTGCTTGAAAGTTTGTGAACCCTTTACAATTTTCTATATTTCTGCATAAATATGACCCAATTCATAATCAGATTTTCGCACAAGTCCTGAAAGCAGACAAAGAGAACCCAGTCAAACAAATGAGACAAAAATATTTTCTTTGCCATTTATTTATTGAGAAAAATGACTCCGTGTTACATTTCTGTGCGGTGCAAAAGTATGTGAATCTCTAGGATTAGTGAAATTAGAGTCCATCTGTTCAGAGGTGTTTTCATTCAGTGGAATGACTATCAGGTGTCATTAGTACTCCACAAATCCACAGTCAGACAGATTGTGTAGAAATGGAGGAGATTCAAGACCACTGTTTCCCTCCCCAGGAGTGCTCCACCAACAAAGATCACTCCAAAAGCAAGACGTGTAATAGTCTGCGAGGTTGCAAAGGAACCCAGGGTAACTTCTAAGCAACTAAAGGCCTTTCTCACATTGGCTAATGTTTAATGTTCATGAGTCCACCAAAGAGGAGAACACTGAGCAACCATGGTGTGCATGGCAGAGTCGCAAGGAGAAAGCCACTGATCTCCAAAAAAACTGCCCGTCTGCAGCTTGCTAAAGATCATGTGGACAAGCCAGAGGACTATTGGAGAAATGTTTTGTGGACAGATGAGACCAAAATAGAATTTTGGGGGGGTTTATATGAGAAGTGTTCTGTTTGGAGAAAAGAACACACTGGATGGTTAAAGAAGAACAATGTTAATGTTTTGGAATGACAGAGTCAGAGTCTGGACCTTGATTCAATTTTGGTCAGACCAGATACTGAAAGCAAAGATACAATATTTCTATATATTTCTTTTTCGTCATTTTATATACATTGCTGTTCCAAAGTTTGGGATCAGTACAATTTTTAATGTTTTTTAAAGAAGTCTCTTCTGCTCTCCAAGGCTGCATTTATTTGATCAAAGATGCAGAAAAAAAACAGTAAAAATTATGAAATATTATTATAATTTAAAATAACTGTTTTCTATGTGAATATATTGTAAAATGTAATTTATTTCTGTGATGCGCA